TCATGCAAAGATGGGCTCAATAAAGGACAGAAATGCTATGGACCTAACAGAAGCAGAAGATATTAGAAGAGGTGGCAAGAATACACAGAAGAACTGTACAAAAAAGATCTTCACGACCCAGACAATCACAATTGTGTGATCACTCACCTAGAGCCAGACATCCTGGAATGTGAAGTCAAGTGGGCCTTAGGAAGCATCACTATAAAGAAAGCTGGTAGACATGATCGAATTGCAGTTGAGCTATTTCAAATCCTAAAAGATGATGCTGTGAAAGTGCTGCACGCAATATGCCAGCAAATGTGGGAAATCTCAGCAGTGGCCACAGGACTGGAAAAGGTCAGTTTTCATTCTAATCCCAAAGAAAGGCAATGCCAAAGAATGCTCAAACTACCACACAATTGCACTCATCTCACACGCTAGTAAAGTAATGCTCAAAATTCTCCAAGGCAGGCTTCAGCAATATGTGAACTATGAACTTTAAGCTGGTTTTAGAAAAGGCAGAGGAACCAGAGATCAAATTGCCAACATCCACTGATCATCAAAAAAGCAAGAGAGTTCCAGAAAAGCATCTATTTCTGCTTTATTGACCATGCCAAAGCCTTTGACTGTGTGGTTCACAATAAACTGTGGAAAATTCTGAAAGAGATGGGCATACCAGACAACCTGACCTGCCTCTTGAGAAACCTGTATGCAGGTCAGGAAGCAACAGTTAGAACTGGACATGGAACAACAGACTAGTTCCAAATAAGAAAAGGAGTACATCAAGGCTGTATATTGTCATCCTGCTTATTTAACTTATGTAAAGAGTACCTCATGAGAAACGCTGGGCTGGATGAAGTACAAACTGGAATCAAGATTGCCAGGAGAAATTTCAGTAACCTCATATATGCAGATGACACCACCCTTATGGCAGAAAGTGAAAAAGAACTAAAAAGCCTCTTGATGAAAGTGAAAGAGGAGAGTGAAAAAGTTGACTTAAAGCTCAACATTCAGAAAACTAAGATCATGGTATACAGTCCCATCACTTCATGGCAAATGATGGGGAAACAGTGGATACATTGGCTAGCTTTATTTTGGGGGGCTCCAAAATCACTGCAGATGGTGACCACAGCCAGGAAATTAAAACATGCTTGCTCCTTGGAAGGAAAGTTATGACCAACCTAGACAGCATATTAAAAAGCCGAGACATTACTTTGCCAACAAAGGTTCATCCAGACAAGGCTATGGTTTTTCCAGTAGTCATGTATAGATGTGAGAGTTGGACTGTAAAGAAAGCTGAGCACTGAAGAATTGATGCTTTTTAACTGTGGTGTTGGAGAAGACTCTTGAGAGTCCCTTGGACTGCAAGGAGATCCAACCAATCCATCCTAAAGGAGATGAGTCCTGAGTGTTCACTGGAAGGACTGATGTTGAAGCTGAAACTCCAATATTTTGTCTACCTGATGTGAAGAGCTGACTCATTTCAAAAGACCCCAATGCTGGGAAAGATTGGGGACAGGAGGAGAAGGGCCGACAGAGGATAAGATGGCTGGATGTCATCACCGACTCAATGGACATGAGTTTGGGTAAACTCTGGGAGTTGGTGATGGACAGGGTGGCCTGGGGTGCTGCAGTCCATAGCATCGCAAAGAGTCAGACACGACTGAGCAACTGAACTGAACTGAACTGAACACTAATTGAATTAAAGAGGGACTTTTCATGATTATAATGAGATGCACCCTTAATAAAGATATAGACATCAAAATTCAAGAAAGGTTAACAGAACATAGCTTTGAAATATACTTGACAGAATGAAAAGAAGAAATAGGCAAAATCACAATTAAAATGGAGGATTATTACTGTATCTTTTTCAATAGCATACAGACCAAACATACAAAAAACAAAGAATACAGTAGATGTACAACAAAATAATCAGCACATTTAACTAAGTAACACATAGAGCAATGCACCCAACAATGTGAGAGTTCACATTATTGTAAATGCACTAGGAACATTTATCAAAAATGACCACATAATAGGACAAAATCTTTCACTCTTTGAATTCATACAGAGTATTTACTCTGACCACAGTGGAATAAAATTAAGAATTAATAAGAAAAATTGTTAGCCATCCTTATTTTGGGAAATTCAGCAACACCCTTCCAAAAAACACCTGAGTCTGGGAATAAATTTAAAATTTACTAAATATTGTGAAATAATGATAATAAAGATACGATAATAATGATAATAAACACAAAATAATGATATTATCATAAATTCTTCTAATGAAACTCAAGTAGTGCCTAAGGGAAATTTATAGCCTAGATTTAGAGAAAAGGAAAGACTGAAAGTGAAAAAAGTAAGCTTCCAATTAAGAAACTAGATGAGAAAGTCTAAAGGATGTAGAATGTTGGGTTTAATTTAAAAGGAACAAAAATGAATGGAAAAGAAGGTAAGCATAAGATAGAAAACCCTTTAAACGTGGCTCATTGAAAATTGATGAACACTGATCAATACTAATGAAGAGCAGAGACTAAGGAAGTTAACAACACCAAGAATGAAAAGGGACATCACTGTAAATCATATAGAGTTTTTGGTCATAGTTTTTGTGTTGTTGTTTGTTTGTTTTTTGGCTGTGCTATGGCTCGTGGGATCTTAGTTCCCAGGTCAGGGATTGAACTTGGCCCCATGACAGTGAAAGTCCAGAGATTTAACCCCTGGATTGCATAGCTTTATTAGTACAATTTATACATTTAATGTGGGTAAGTACACAGAAAGTGTCAGTTTCTCCACAGCCTTGCCAACACTTAAGTGTCTTTAAAAAAAAAGTCATTCTGATATGTGTGAGATGATATCTCTTTGTGGTTTGTTTTACATTTCCCTGATGATTGACAACGTCAAGTATTTTTCATACACCCATTGGCAATTTGTATGTCTTCTTTAGAGAAATGTCTATTCAAGCCGTTGGCCAATTTTTTAATTGAGTTATTAGGTTTTGGATATTTTTTTCTTGAGTTGCAGGAGTTCCTTATTTGTTTGGAAAATAATATAATTAGTGCTAGCTTGCTTTTTCACTCTGTTGATGTCTCCTTTGGCTTGAAGAAGCTTTTTAAGTTTGATATATTCCCACTTGTCTATTTTTGCTTTGTTACCTGTACTTTTGACATCATATCCATGAAATCATGAAGCAATGTGTTTTTATTTTGTGATGAAGCTATCACATATCCAAAATATAATTGTTATCTGGTGATGATGTTACACAATCACACATAGTAAAATAAACTCAGATAAATAAATGAATTCAAAATTAGGTTTAAAAAAATTAGGTTTAGAATATTCTTTAGTGGAACTGTAAAATTATTTGCAGAAAATGAAACTTGATTCAATGTTATTTTGGGATTAAGAATGGCATATGAAACATTTCATTAAAGGCAGAAGTCAAAAAAGTAAACCATTATAGATTTGATAACATAACCCCCCATTCACATATATAACCTTTATATGCAAAAAATGGGGGAAATATTTACAAAAATATTTAAGGAAGAGTAAGTGACATTTCTTTATAAGACTATAAAGAAAGCTGAGTGCCGAAGAATTGATGCTTTTGAACTATGGTGTTAGAGAAGACTCTTGAGAGTCCCTTGGACTGCAGGGAGATCCAACCAGTCCATTTTAAAGAAGATCAGTCCTGGGTGTTCATTGGAAGGACTGATGTTGAAGCTGACACAACTGAGCAACTGAACTGAAGTGATGTTTGTTTATAGAGAGCTCCTACAAATAAATAAAAAATTTTAAAGCATTCTAGAGAAAAAAATATTGTCATGAAAGATATCTTAAAACTGTAAAATAGGAAAGAAGATAATATTTTTGTATATAGTGTTTGTGAAAGTCACCCTGCTACTGCTAAGTCACTTCAGCCGTGTCCAACTCTGTGTGACCCCGTAGACGGCAGCCCACCAGGCTCCCCCATCCCTGGGATTCTCCAGGCAAGAATACTGGAGTGGGTAGCCTTTCCCTTCTCCAGGGGTCTTCCCAAGCCAGGGATCGCACCTAGGTCTCCCACATTGCAGGAAGATTCTTTACCGGCTGAGTCATCAGGGAAGCCCAAGAATATTGGGGTGAGTAGCCTATCCCTTCTCCAGTGGATCTTCCCGACCCAGGAATCAAACCAGGCTCTCTTGCATTGTAGGCGGATTCTTTACCAGCTTAGCTACCAGGGAAACTCTAATGTGAATTAAAAAAAAAATGATGCATGTTCTTATGTCAAGACTATGAAGAGAATAATACTCTTTTAAGAGGGAGGTGGGAGGGGGGATCGGGATGGGGAATACATGTAACTCCATGGCTGATTCATGTCAATGTATGACAAAACCCACTGTAATCTTGCAAAGTAAGTAGCCTACAACTAATAAAAATAAATAAAAAATACTCTTTTAAAATTAATTATTTATTTGGTTGTGCTGGGTCTTAGTTGCAGCATGCAAATTCTTACTTGTGGGATCATAAGGAAAAAAATTGTAACTACATGTGGTGATGGATATTACTGTACATCTGGTGATGATTTACTGATATATACAAAAACATAAACTCTATATTTTACACTTAGAACTAATATAATGTTACAAGAATTACATCTCAATTAAAAATTTTAACAAACAAGGTTGGAGTATGTGGATAAAATCAGTTCCAACCTTACCTCATTTAGGCTTCTCTGGTGGCTCAGACAGTAAAGAATCTGACTGCAGTGCGGGAGACTCAATTGCGATACCTAGGTTGGGATGATCCCCGGAGAAGGGAATGGAAACCCATTCCAGTATTCTTGCCTGGAGAATTCCGTGGACAGAGGAGCCTGGCAGGCTATAGTCCATGCAGGCACAAAGAGTCGGACATGATTGAGCAACTAACAATTTCACTTAATGTCATTTTGTGGACCCAAATTAAACTCACCACTTAGATTTTAAAATATCAAATCTCACTGCATCCTACAGGGTTGGGACAGACACACAGAAACAGTAAGTCACCTGCACACGAGATGTAGGCTTCCTCCTCTGGAGAACATGAAGTGTAATTCCAAGGGTCAGAAGAACACTGCCAGAGAGAGGTGTCAGTTTTCCGACACCGGATTCCATCCACCCACTGGGGTCTAGAACCTTCTCTAAGAGCAAGAGAAGAGTTGAGGGTTCCACTGTCCCCACAGCCAAGCTGTCTGCAGATCATGGACACAGTGATGTCCTCCATGGGGTTGTGGCAGACACTGCCCCAGGTCCCGTTGTAGAAAACTTCCAGCCACCCAGCACACTGGTGGTCCTCACTCACCATCCTGAGGGCCAGGAACTCTAAGATTGAAAGGGGAGGAGACAGGACACAATGAAAACTTTGCTGGATGTTTTAGGTTTTCCTTTCTTCTAGAAATAGTGAACATTCATCTCTGACCTTGTTCAAGAGGTACCCACTAGATGACAAGACTGACATTGCCTCCCTTTTAACTGACTTTGTCCATTTGTGTCTGTCCTTCTATTTCTACCACAATGGTGTAGTGGATATGAACTGAGAGGAAGACCAAATTGTGTGGGCGCTCGTCAGGGAGGGGCAGCTGAATTCAGCTTCCTGACCAAATCTTTGAAGAGTATGTCACGGGATGTGATGTGGATATTAGGGAGATAGGCAGAATAATTAACCCCAAAATGTCCACATCCCAGTCTCTGCAACCTGTGAATATGTTACCATACCTGACAAAAGGGATTTACAGATGTGATTAAGAAAAGGACCTTGGGACGGTGAGATTAAGCTAGAATATTATATTAACAACGTGAGCCCAGTCTAAGCACATCGTTAGACCCACTATCCTTAAACATGGAATACATTTCTTAGCTCTGCCTAGAGAGAGAGATGTGACTCTCGATAATATTTGGAAGCCTGCAGCATTGCTGGTCTGATAATGGATGAAGGGAGCTGTGAACCAAGGGATGTAGGCGGTTTCTAGAAGCTTGAGAATTCCATGGACAGAGGGGCAGGGCAGGATACAGTCCATGGGATCGCAAAGAGTCAGACACAACTGTGTGAAGAACTTTCTTTTTTTTTTTTTATCTAGAAGATTGAAAAAACAAGAAATAGATTCTCCCCCAGAGCCACGGAAGTGATGCAGCCCTGCTGAAGCCTTGATCCCAGCCCAGTGAGAGCCTTGCTGGACATCTAAGCTACAGAAGAGTAAGGAAATAAATATATGCTGTTTTAAACCACTAATTGGTAAATTGTTAGGGAAGCAAATGGAAACTAGTACCGTGGGTTTAAAATTCTTGTATGTAACTGGAGAGAGAGCCTTGCTTTCAACAAAAACTGTTAAAAACGGCTCTGCCAGGAAACACTGGGGAGAAGAAAGGACCAGATCCTCAGCTGCTGCAGGAGGAAGTGAAAGCACCTCGTCTTCACGTCTGCTGGAAACACAGGCTCCATGGGAGGAAGCCTCCTTCTCTGGTCCTTTCTGCATCTCTCCCTCAGAGCTCAGACCCCGTCCTCCAGGGCCCCACCCCCTCCCCTAGCCTGTGGACAGTGCGCAGCGCAGACCTGAGCAGATGACCCCCGCGTCCTGCTGGTGTCTGCAGTCGTGCTGCCCCCAGCCTCGGGAAGGGCACCTCCACACATGGGACTCCTTTCCTGTGCAATTCAGGTTGTCCAGCCAGATGGGCCCTGATCCTGCCCCGAAGTGAGCAAACCCCGTGGCATTGAGAGCTGGTCCACAGCCCAGCTGCCTGCACACCACGTGGGCATCGTCCAGGTCCCAGCCGTCATCACAAATGGTGCCCCAGGAGCCCTGGTCAAGGATCTCCACTCTCCCGGCGCAGGGACCGCCCCCGTCCACCAGGCGGAGCTGTCTGCTGTCTTAGGAGAGAGAAATGGGAGAATGGGGCCGTGACCTGGAGAATGAAAAGGGTCTTCTGTCCTGTAGGACCCTCACCTGAGCAGTAGGGGGAGCTCTCCTTTGAGGCCGCAGAGCCTGCTGGTTCAGACAGGGAGTTGTTGCACTGGGGCAGCACCTGGGTCTGGTTTCCTGAAGAAACAGCAATGATCAGAAGTCCGGAAGGGTTGAAGAACAGGAAACTGAATTAAGGGAAATAATGATCTAGTGATGAAGCCTAAGATGAAACTGTGCTCAATTCACTTCAGTTCAGTCACTCAGTCGTGTCCTACTCTTTGCGACCCCATGAACCGTAGAACACAAAGCATCCCTGTCCATCACCAACTCCCAGAGTCCACCCAAACCCATGTCCATCGAGTCGGTGACACCATCCAACCATCTCATCCTCTGCCGTCCCCTTCTCCTCCCTCCCTCAATCTTTCCCAGCATCAGGGTCTTTTCAAATGAGTCAGCTCTTTGCATCAAGTGGCCAAAGTATTGGAGTTTCAGCTTCAACATCAGTCCTTCCAAAGAACACCCTGGACTGATCTCCTTTAGGATGAACTGGTTGGCTCTCCTTGAAGTCCAGGGGACTCTCAAGAGTCTTCTCCAACACCACAGTTCAAAAGCATCAGTTCTTCAGTGCTCAGCTTTCTTTAGAGTCCAACTCTCATATCCATACATGACTACTGGAAAAACCATAGCTTTAACTAGATGGACTGTTGTTGGCAAAGTAATGTCTCTGCTTTTTAATATGCTGTCTGCTGCTGCTGCTGCTAAATCACTTCAGTCGTGTCCAACCCTGTGCGACCCCATAGATGGCAGCCCACCCCCGTCCCTGGGATTCTCAAGGCAAGAACACTGGAGTGGGTTGCCATTTATTTCATCAATATGTGAAAGTGAAAAGTGAAAGTGAAGTCGCTCAGTCATGTCCGACTCGTAGGGACCCAATGGACTGCAGCCTACCAGGCTCCTCCGTCAATGGGATTTTCCAGGCAAGAGTACTGGAGTGGGGTGCCATTGCCTTCTAGGTTGGATCATAACTTCCCTTCCAAGGAGTAAGCATCTTTTTTTTTTTTTTTTTTGGAGTAAGCATCTTTTAATTTCATGGCTGCGGTCACCATCTGCAGTGATTTTGGAGCCCCCAAAAATAAAGTCAGCCACTGTTTCCACTGTTTCCCCATATATTTGCCATGAAGTGATGGTACTGGATGCCTTGATCTTAGTTTTTTGAATGTTGAGTTTTAAGCCAGCTTTTTCACTCTCCTCTTTCACTTACATCAAGAGGCTCTTCAGCTCCTCTTCACTTTCTGCCATAAAGTTGGTGTCATCCGCATATCTGAGGTTATTGATATTTCTCCTGGAAATCTTGATTCCAGCTCATGCTTCATCCAGCCCAGTGTTTCTCATGATGTCCTCTGCATATAAGTTAAATAAGCAGGATGACAACACAAAGCCTTGACATACTCCTGTCCCAGTTTGGAACCAGTCTGTTTTTCCATGTCCAGTTCTAACGATTGCTTCTTGATCTGCATACAGGAGGCAGGTAAGGTGGTCTGGTATTTCCATCTCTTTAGGAATTTTCCAGTTTATGATCCACACAGTCAAAGGTTTGGCATAGTCAATAAAGCAGAAGATATTTTTCTGGAACTCTCTTGCTTTTTCTGTGATTCAGCAGATGTTAGCAATTTGATCAACGTGAAAAGGCAAAACTTTTAGCTGAAAAAAAGAATATATACTTCGTTTTGCTTATGATTTTGAGTCATTGATCAGGAAAAAAACTCAGTTTGGCAGTCTTTCAGTGGGGTCTTTCAGTGCTGCAATTAGATGTCACCTGGAGCTGAAGTCATTTAAAGATTTGACTGAACTCTGGTTCTGTAAAGAAACTCCTAGAAGTGTTCTAAGGGTAAAGGAACATCATTTCTTCAACTTAATTCAGAAAGATTTTACATATTCAGGAAGAAATGGGGCAGAAGGGGAATCGAAAAGGAAAGACACTCACACACAGAGAGAGATTAAAGCAAAATATTGATACTAACATTTAGAAACCCAGGTAAGGGTCATAAGGGAATTTTTATATTACTTTCCCAACATTTTAATGTCTCAAATGACATCAAAATTAAAAATTTAAAAGATGAAATCAACTCAAAGAGAATTCATTGCCAGGACACTTTCACAGAAATACTCATAACATCAAAAATAAAATACCTAGGAGAAATCCTAGTAGAAGATGGGCAAAATCTCTGAGAGAAATTCAAGATGTAACTGAACGGAGGGATGTATTATGTCAATGATTTGGAAAACTCAACATTGTCAATGTCAATCATCCTCAAATTTCTTTGTCTCCTCTCAAATTTTTAAATCTAATCTCAATGAAAATACCCTTCCGTTTTTCTTTTGGTGATAATGACAAGCTGATTTCTAAATTCATACAAAATACAAGCAACCAAGAATGACAATCACAGTTGGTAAGAAAAGCAACAAAGTTAGAGGCGTTAATATAAAGCAATTCTTGTAAATTAAAATTATTAAGACTTACTACAAAGTTTGAAACTCTGGGAGATAGTGAAGGATGGAAGCCTGGTGAGCTGTAGTTCATGGGGTCACAAAGAGTCAGACTTGACTTAGTGATTGAACAACAACAATAACAAAGTTATGATAATTAAGAAAATACAGTATTGGTGTGAGGATAGACAAATGGTAACATGGAACAGAATAGAGAGTCTTAAAATGCACAGACATATTTGCCCTTCTGCTTATGACGAAGGCTTCTCTGAAGTGGGGAAAAGAATCTTTTCAGAAAAAGATTGAGTCAATTGGATGTCCATATGAAACCTGACCCTTATCTTACATTGATATCAATCCCAGAAGGAATGCACAATTATATGCAACAGAAAAATAATAAAATTTCCATAAGATACTCTTGGAGAACATTTTTATGATCTTGGAGTAGGCAAAAATTCTGTTTTAAAGGGTATAAGAAGCATTAAATGTACAGGAAAAAGTTGGCAAGTTATGTTTCCATAAGATTAAGAAATGAGTTCATCAAAGGACACCATTTGATTTAAATAAAGAAAAGAAAAGACCAAGGGTTAAACATGGAAAGTAAGTAACACATATTTGCATCCAAAGACATTGTCATGGTAAGTTGTAGTATCATATTTGTAGTAGTCAAGAACTGGAAACAACTCAGATTTATACTGACAGTAGAATTGATCAGTACATGACCATGTGATCATCCAAAGTCATACTCTATGGTAATAAAAAAAAAAATAAAGTGCTACAATATACAACATCATGAGTGAATCCCAAACATAATTTTGAGTCTAAGAAATTAGATACAAAAGATGCAACATACTGCATCATTTTATATAAAGTTCAAAAATTGATAAAACACTATGTTAGAAGAAGTTAGGTAAGCGGTTTTCCCTGTAGAGGAGGGAGGACAGTTACTGGGGACAATAGTGACTGTGGTGCTGGGGACATTCTCTTTGTTGCTCTGGATTGGGGTTCATACTGAGGTCTACACTTACTGCTTCTACACTGTCTTCTATGATTGTATGTAAGCAACAATGTTGCTTAAAAATATATGATTCCCATTCATACTTCTTGCCCTGGCCTGAAAAATGAAGGAACAATGAGAAGATCCATATTTCACCACGAAATATCTGACTTTGAAGTCCATTTTCCCTCACTCTCTGCTCTTGGGGACATTTCACTCCAGGAGCATCCTGAGTACCAGTAGCCCTTGTCCCTCTCTCTTACCTGAGCAGATCACAGAGGCTCTGTTGCCATGGGAACAGTCAGGCCCACCCAGGACAGTCACAGGACAACTCCACAGGAAGGACTCAGCCCCTGAGCAGTGAAATCGGACTGTTGAGATCTGATCACCTTCTTCCACCACGTGTGGTCCTCTGGGAGTGGAAATGGCAACTCCACAGCCGAGCTGATGACAGACAACATTGGCATTGGCCAGACTCCAGTGGGAGGCACAGAGCACTCTCCATCGTCCAGAAATGTTCACCTCCACCTGCCCCTCACACTGAGAGGAGCCGTTTGTCATGAGCCGGACTTCTGAGTATGCTGGTAGAAGAAGACAGAGTTTCAGCAAAATCACATGAACAGGGTGTCCACAGAGATGAAAGGCCTGACCTGCATCTCACCTGAACAGACAACCTGAGCAGCTCCACTATGGTGACACGTGCCCCCTGGACAGGGCACTCTGGGGCAGACCCGGAGCTCAGGCTCCTCCCCCTCACACCTGAACTCTTCAGCCCAGACCTGGCCATCGGACTCTCTGAAGGGCACGTGTCCCAAGATAGACACAGCCTTGCCGCACCCCAGCTCTGCACAGATGACCTGGGCAGTCGGGAGTGTGAAGTTCCCATCAGACACTGGGATCCAGGCTTCTCCAGAATGCACTTCTACTCGCCCTGAGCAGGGTCCATCCCCTCCAGCCAGACGTGCAAATCCTAAGAGGAAACAACAACAAAACAAGTGAATGTTCCTGTACTGACTTGAAACTGCACATTACAGGCCTTGGTGTGAAAGTTTTTCTTTTTAGAAGTGGAGCATGTAGAGAGTCTTTGACAGTTAGTGTCATAATTAAATTTTCTTGAGCAGGTTTCTAAAGAGAAATCCAGGAGGATTGCAAGGTCAGTTTGGAATGGCTGAATCCCAAGGACATACACATTGAGACTGGTTAGAAATCTGAATTCCTTGGTCTAGGAGCCAAGAAACTACAGAGCCCAGTTCAGGTCATTGGAATGGCTGAATACTGGAAACACATCTTTTAGCATTGGTTGAAGAAGTGAATTTCTCATTTAGCAACCTGGGACCTACAGATCCAAGGATAATGTATAATATGCAGGCACTTGAAAGTAGGCCTATGCAGAACAGAACCCACCCAGAAGGATGTGGGCTATGAGATTAGAGACCTAGCATCCAGACAAGCTTAGAAAGCTTTCCTGGGACTTGTGGGGCTAATATTCTGATCAGTTTTCTCTCCCAGGAGCTAGTCCTCAAGTGACTTAGATGAGGGAAAGTCTTGAGGCTGGATCCATGAGGGGATGCCAACCTGTAGACAGGTGACAGCTCCAGAGAAGAAATATAGATTCTATCACTAATTCATGTTTATGTCATCACATCTTGTCTTCTCAATAGCAAAAATTCTATGAATTTCTTCAGTGACCTCAGTGGGAAAGAAGATGAATTAAGAAAACTCAGAGAGTCATAGAGAGAGAGTCCCAGCCATCTCTCTTGAAATCCTAGGATTTGTCAAAGAACCTGGTAGAGTGTGTGTTCTCAGTGGGAGCTTACCAGACAGCTGAGTTTCCAGATCATCTCCTATTAAAGGTTTTTCTTCTGAAACAGGACTCATAGAAAATGCTAATTGATTTTAATACTATCATTGTACTAATTCTAACCACAGAAAAATATGCATTCTTCTCAAGTACAAATGGAATATTCTCCAGGCTAGGTTACAAATAACTCTTAACAAATTCAAAAGTATTAAAATAATTCCAAGTATCTTTCATGACCATAATGGAATGGAACTAAAACTCAATAGTGATAAGAAAACAGGAAATTCATGAATATACAAAAATTAAACCACACACTCCTATTTTAAGATTGTTTTCTCTATTTCTATTAAGAATGTTATTGGGATTTAGATAGGAATTGCATTAAATCTGTAGATCACTTTGACAAGTACAGGCATTTTAACAATGTTAATTCTTCCAGGCCAGAAGCACAGAATGACTTTCCATTGATCGTATTGTCTTTAATTTCTTTCATAGATGTTTTACAATTCCAAAAGAAGATGGCATGTTGAATGTTTGACAATTCTAAAAAGAGGAAGAAGAAGGAGAAGGAGGAGGAAGTGAGCAAACAAGCCATAATTTGCAGAGTTCCAAGTTGAAAAAGCCTCAATATGAACAAAATATGTAAGTATTTGTGGGAAACACTTGTTGAATAGGTTGTTAGCATATTACATCACCCTCTGCTCCTCCCATCTACCACTTAAGCTGCTATCCTTTTTCATTTTTCCCACTTCAGACAAGCAAACACCATTTTAAAAGATACAGATGAATGGAAAAGAAAATCAGAAAGGATAGCTACTGCTGTAGCAGTAGGGTGTAGGTGGGGCATATGGCAGGCAAGGTGGGATCAAGGAAGTTTTAAAACTAAAGGAGACAAACCAAAATAAAAGTTCATCATTTGGTCATCAAAGGAACACATTTTGAACAGAATGAAGATAACCCAATGAAAAAACTTTATTTGATTCATCAAGTACATTCCCTGATTTTTAGATGTGTTCTGATTATTTATTTCTAAAGTTCTTACTGGTAAAGGACTGCTTAGTGATGCCCAACATCCAACCAAAAAAATTATTAGAATTTCCAAAGGGGAAAAATGTAACCCGTAACACATTTTTTAAAAATAATTATTTAAATCAGCTTCAGAAATTATAGAAATGATTGAATTGGCTGAAGAGATCTTTAAACCACTAATGTCAATATGCTTAATGAAGAATAAAAATAAACAGGGAGGAAAACTAGGAAAAATAAACAAATGAGACTTCTAAAACTGAAAAAATATAGTATTGGAATGAACAATTATTTGGATTAATTGTACAAGAGACTAGACATTGCAGAATGAAAGAATTGGGAAGTAAAACACAGCAATACAGACTATCTAAACTGAACCAAAGAGAGTAAAAAGGCAGAAAAATATGAATGGAAACACAGTGGCATGTAGTGGATAATATAAAAATATATAAAATATGTGTATTTGGAGATTCAAAATAAGGGCTGTGTGGAAAAATACTAAGGAAAGATAAGTGAAATTTTTCCAAAATTTTTCAAAACTGTAAATCCACTGATTCGAAAAGTTAACAAACCCCAAACAAGGTAATGAAATCATTCTCAGAAAACATGACAATGTAAATACTTAAATTCAGTGGTAAACAAACAAACAAAAATATCTTAAGAGCAGCCAGGGAAATTTGACACATAATATACAGGGAACAAAAGGATAAGTGTAGGGGGAGGGGCCAAGATGGCGGAGGAATAGGACAGGGAGACCACTTTCTCTCCTACAAATTCATCGAAAGACCATTTGAATGCTGAGCAAATTGCACAAAACAACTTCTGATCGCTAGCAGAGGACATCAGGCGCCCAGAAAAGCAGCCCATTGTCTTCGAAGGGAGGTAGGACAAAAGATAAAAGATAAAAAGGGAGTCAAAAGAGCTACGGACGGAGACCCGTCCCGGGAAGGGAGTCTTAATAGAGGAAGTTTCCAATCACCAGGAAACCCTCGCACTGGCGGGACTGGGGGAAGTTTTCGGCAATCTAACTGGGAGGAAAAATTAAACAAGGCCCACAGATTACGTGCCTAAAAGCAACTCCCAGCAGAAAAGTACCCCAGACGCCCGTACCCGCCAGCAACAAGCGGGGGCGGGACGGAGAGGAGCGGGCGGCGTTGCTTAGGGCCCGAACACACTGCCGGCGGTTCGCAAAACAAAGGGACTGAGAAAGTCCAGAGAAGAGCCGGCCCATCCCCGCTGGAGGTTGGAGGCAGGGAGTAGGGGAAAAGGGCAAACTCAGCCCCTGAGAAGCCACCCCCTCCCACACTGCAAACAGGCCCCCGGTTCCTATCTAAAGACTTCCTGAGACCCGACTGGCGGCGCGCGCTGGGGCCGCGGAGGGAAAAAGCGCGCCGTACCCGGGGAGAGTGCGCCCAAGCCTCTGGCTGCCTGGGCTGCCCACCGCGGAGGGAAAAGGCGCGCCGCACCCAGGGAGAGTACGCCCAAGCCTCTGGCTGCCTAGGCTGCTCGACGTGGAGGGAAAAGGCGTGCCGCACCCAGGGAGAGTACGCCCAAGGCTCTGGCTGCCTGAACCGCTCAGGCCGGGGAAGGCACAAAACGCAGGCGCAACCGAATCTGCGCTTTTGTGGAGTACCCGAAATCTGGAACCGCACTCAACGCAGGGCCCGCTCCACATAGAGCAGCCGGAGCCTGAGCAGTGTAGACGGCAAAAGCACTGACACCCGTGAGCGGGGTAAACCCAGTGTGGCCGGAACACGGTGAGTGCTATCCACGCAGAGCGGTATCTGTCTACAGCGCCCCGCCCTCCCCGTAGCAGGACTGAACTGAGCTAGAGAACCTAAATAAGAGATCACCTCCGCCCGCCTGTGTCAGGGCGGAAATTAGACACCGAAGAGACGGCAAACAGAAGCCAAATAAACAAAGGGAACCGCTTCAGAAAGGACTGGTGCAACAGACTAAAATCCCTGAAGGTAACACCGACTACACCAGAAGGGGCCTACAGATATCGAGAAGTGTAAGCCGGAAAGAGGAGCTATCTGAAATTGAACTGAACCTACGCTGACTGCAACAACTCCAGAGAAATTCCTAGATATATATTTTTTTTTTTTAATTTAAAAAAAATTTTTTTTCCATCTTTTTTTTTAATTTTTTTTAATTTTTTCTCTTTTATTTTCTTTTAAAATTCCCTATTACTCCCCCATTACTCCTCAACTTTCATTTTCATATATTTTTACGATTTTTTTAATTAGGGGGAAAAAAAGGAAAAAAAAAATTTTTTTTTCTTTTTTTTTTCTTTTTCTTGTTTTTCTCTCCTATTTTAAAGTCCTCTAATACTCCTCTATTATTCCTTAATTTTCATTTTCATTTCACTATAACCTTGCCAAAAAAAAAAAAGAGAGAGAGAAACCCTATTTTTAAATCAAACTTCATATACATTTCTAAATTTTTTTTTGTTTGTTTTTGTTTTTAAATATTGTACTTCAAAGAGTCTAACCTCTACACTAGATTTTTAATCTTTGTTTTTCAGTAGTAGGTGATATAAATTTTGGTCATTTAAGAATCCAATATTCAGTTCCCATTTCTATTCAGGAGTGTGGTGATTACTCTCCCACTTTTGACTTTCTGTTTTCTACCTCGGAACACCTCTATTTCCTCCTTTCCCCTTCTCTTCCCAATCCAACTCTGTGAATCTTTGTGGGTGTCTGGGCTACGGAGAACACTTTGGGAACAGATAACTGCGTAGATCTGTCTCTCTCCTCTTGAGTCCCCTTTTTCTCCTCCTGATCACCTCTATCTCCTTCCTCCCTCTCCTATTCTTCATGTAACTCTGTGAACCTCTCTGGTTGTCTCTCACGGTGGAGAATCTTTTCACCATTAACCTAGAAGTTTTATTATCAGTGCTGTATAGTTGGAGAAGTCTTGAGACTATTGGAAGAACAAAACTGAAATCCAGAGGCAGGAGACTTAAGCCCAAATCTTGAGAAAACCAGAAAACTCCTGACTACACGGAACATTAAGGAATAAGAGACCATCCAAAAGCTTCCATACCTACACCAAAACCAACCACCACCCAAGAGCCAATAAACTCCAGTACAAGACATACCACGCAAATTCTTTAGCAACGCAGAAACATAGACCTCAGT